GTGGTGGCAACACTGGCACGTGGAACAAAGTCGTTGATGGATGCTACCTGGTTGATCCTGCCAGTAGTCATATGCTTGGCTCAAAGATTAAGCCATGCATGTGTAAGTATGAACTAATTCAGACTGTGAAACTATGAATGTGATGAGTCATATATTATACACTATTCATAACCTTAATTTACCATTGTTAATGATTCTTGGTGTCTAATTGACTTTGTTTGGCATGGTTTAGTGTTTTGGGTTTTATTAGACTATTATTCCTAAAATGAGTTAATTTGGGATTATTTAGTCTAATTAAATCTAATTCCATTTTCAGGTCATATTTGGCACCAAGGACATTTTGGACATTACAAGCGGATGATGTGTGCAAAAGTGAAGATTGTATATTGTATTAGGATCTTTATTTCCGTTTGGGTTTTGGGCCCATTGTTTAGGGCCCATTTCCGTTTTACACCATTTAAACACATGATTTTCGGTTTTGAAGACACACTTTAACATTACATTACTTTTTGGCCTTAGAACATTATTATTCCCGTTTTCCCTCTTTTGCTCTCCTAGGGTTTATGCATTTTCGTTTTTGCTCTTCTCCATTTTCGGTTTTGCTTAATCCTTCCATGGAAGGCTAAATTTTTGGACTAAACTCCTTTGGTAATGTATCACAACTCTTGAGGTTTGGTTATTAATGCAATTTCGGTTTCTTATTTGTTAATTTCTTCTATTCAATTTTTGGATGTGGTTTGCTTAATTCCATGCCTTAGAAATAGATTTGTGAACTGATTTTCGCTTAGTCAATCATTTCTCTAGTGCATGAATGCTTAGTTCGTGTGAATTTGTTTATGAGTTGATTATCGCTTAGTTACTTGATTATGAACAAATTAGAGATTCAACGATTAGAATATGATTTTGATACTGTGAAACCGAGGATTGAGTTGTGATTAAGGAAACCAAAGGGGTTTAGCCGTTTCACTTTTCTGTTAATTACTGTTTCTGTTTTAGTTTTAGATTCATACCATAAAAACAACAAAACCCCCCTTTGTGTGTGTGAGTACAAGGTGTTTGAACTATTGCCTGAAAGATAATCCTTGTGAAACGACCTAGGAGTCACTTCCTAGTACTATACTTTATTATTATATTATTTGTATCGAGTACGGCCTCGATCAAATTTGGCGCCGCTGCCGGGGATTATCGGTTCATACAAAGGTTCTTTGTAGTTTCATAAAGCTTAGTGTAGTGTAGTTTAGTTTGTCATTTCTATAGTGCATTTTTGGTGAAAATTCTGATATTAGTGCAAAAAGTTGTTCATTGTTCACTATTTTGCCATTTTTCATGATTTATGTGATTCTGTTTTGCCGGTTTATATAGCTGTGGGTGGAATTTTTGCATGAAATTTTGTTTCCACACTTCTTTCATCCCACATTGAACACCAGAGAAAGCAGAACCACTTTCCGAACTGTAGTTTGTGAGATACAACTTTACGGTGAATAGTGAATTGTTGAAAATTTGTTTTTAGGATAACTTTGTCTCCGTATATCAGAATTGGACATATGACATATGTATTTGAGGTAGAAAAATAACCCTTTTTACTATTTCTTTTTTATTTTTTAAGGTTTATTTTTTATTTTTCAAGGTTTATAGTGAAACTGTTTTGCATTTTTAACATAGTTAGGCTTTGAATTTTTTCTTGAAACTTTTTGTACATGTTCTATATGATTTTAGGATGTTATTGATGCAAATACTTGGTTGATTCTACAATTATAACATGCATTTCCATTACTTTTGCCTTACTTTCTTCCTACTGTTGATTGTATTGCATGACTAGGGGAAATACAGGTCATTTGCATCCAATAAATCCTGAAATTGATAGAACATATCATAGGTTAGTTAGACAGAGTAGAAATTTACCTTTCCATAGTGTACCTGATTCTGTTTCTTATTCTGATTCTATTTCTGATTCTATTCCTGTTTCTGTGCATTCTGTGCAATATACTGATTTTGTGCATTATGTTGCATTGTCTGATTCTGAGCATTTTGAAAATTCTGTGCACTCTGAAAATATGGCTCAACCACCTACTCCTCCTGGTCCTCGTGAGAGGACATTAAGGGAGTTGGCTGCACCTGATTTCACTTATGATAGCTTGTGCATCCAGTATCCCAATGAGGATGTGCCATATGTGCTTAAAACTGGACTAATCCATTTGTTGCCAAAGTTTAATGGACTTGCAGGTGAGGATCCTCATAAGCATCTTAAGGAGTTCCATATTGTCTGTTCAACCATGAAACCTCATGATGTCCAAGAGGATCACATCTGTTTGAAGGCATTTCCTCATTCACTTGAAGGCCCTGCAAAAGACTGGTTGTACTATTTGGCTCCTGGATCTATCACAAGTTGGGGTGACCTGAAGAGGACATTCCTTGGTAAATTCTTCCCTGCCTCCAGGACCACTGCAATCAGAAAAGATATTTCTGGGATTAGGCAACAACATGGAGAAAGTTTATATGAGTATTGGGAGAGATTCAAGAGGTTATGTGCAAGCTACCCCCATCATCAGATTTCAGAGCAACTCCTACTCCAATATTTTTATGATGGTTTGAACAACATGGACAGGAGTATTATTGATGCAGCTAGTGGAGGTGCACTTGGAGACATGACTCCGTTTGAAGCTAGAGGTTTGATTGAGAAGATGGCTTCTAACTCTCAACAGTTCAATGCAAGGAGCAGTGATGCCATAATTGTGAGAGGTGTGCATGATGTTGGGACTGATTCGGTGAGGCAAGAAAAGCTTGAGCGAAAAATTGATTCCCTCACCACATTGGTCACTCAATTAGCCATGAATCAACAAAAACAACCAATGGCAAGAGTATGTGGCATTTGCACCTCACCTGACCATTACAGTGATGTTTGTCCTTCTCTGCTTGAGCCAAGAACTGCTGATCATCCTGAGGCTTATGCTGCAAACATCTACAACAACAGACCAAATCAACAACAGCAAAATTATGATCCATCTTCAAGCAGATACAACCCTGGTTGGAGAAATCATCCAAATCTCAAGTGGTCTGATCACACACAACAACAACCTCCTCATGCACCATTTCAGAACAACAATGCTGGACATAATAGACCTTATGTTCCCCCACCAATTCAACAACAAAGGCAACAACAAGTGATTGATAATCCTCCACCTGTACCTAGTGAACCGTCATTGGAAGAGATGGTGAGGCAAATGACAATGCAGAACATGCAGTTCCAACAAGAAACCAGAGCTTCTATTCAGAGACAAGAATCTTCTATTCAGAATCTGACCACACAAATGGGACAGATGGCTACTTCATTGAACACATTGCAATCGCAAAATTCTGACAAGTTACCTTCTCAAACTGTGATTAACCCGAAAAATGTGAGTGCCATCACCCTAAGGTCAGGAAAGCAGACTGAATTGGCAACCTCTAAACCAAATTCTACTCTACAAAAGGTTGATGACATTGGCAGACACATTCATGCATCTACACCTTCCTCAAGTGCAGCACAACAACCACCTCCCATCCCTCTTCCATTTCCCCCAAATATCATTCCAAGCAAGAAAATGGAAGAGGTCGACAAGGAGATCTTGGAAACATTTAGAAAGGTAGAGGTGAACATACCTCTACTTGATGCCATCAAGCAGATTCCAAGATATGCAAAGTTCCTAAAGGAGTTGTGCACTCACAAAAGGAAGCTGAAGGGTAATGAAAGGATAAGCATGGGCAGAAATGTTTCTGCACTCATAGGTAAACCTATTCCTCACATTCCTGAAAAATGTAAGGACCCAGGTACATTTACTGTTCCTTGCATCATAGGTAACAACAAATTTGAGAATGCCATGCTAGACTTAGGAGCTTCAATTAATGTCATGCCTATGTCTGTTTTTATGTCTTTGTCGATTGGACCTTTAAAGCCTACTGGTGTGGTAATTCAATTAGCAAATAGGAGTACTGCTTATCCTGCTGGCCTGGTAGAGGATGTCTTGGTTCGGGTTGGTGAACTTATATTCCCTACTGATTTTTACATACTAGATATGGAAGAGGGATCCTCCCGTAACACAGTTCCTATTATTTTAGGGAGACCATTTTTAAGAACAGTCCGAACCAAGATTGATGTCCATGTTGGCACACTTTCCATGGAATTTGATGATATTGTGGTCCGGTTTAATATTTTTGATGCTATGAAGCATCCATATGAGGACCTTTCTGTATTTCATGTTGATTTGCTTGATGAGTTGATTAATGAGCATATCTCTGATTTTATTCATGATTCTGATTCTTTATCTTTGATAGCCTCACACACTTGTCATGCATGCACTGATTATGAACTGTGTAGTTCTTGCAATGATGACTTTTTGGATATTATTGTTGATCCACATGATATAGAGTCATATTGCACTAACCCAATTGTTGAAGTGCAGGCTGCAAAATCTATGTCTGCTATTTTTGTTCCATCTGTTTTGCAGGGACCTATATTGGAGCTGAAACCTTTACCTGATAACCTCAAGTATGCTTACTTAGAGGATGATGAGAAGCTCCCTGTCATTGTTTCTACCTCCCTTGATGCTGAGCAAGAGGCGAAGTTGCTACAAGTGCTGAAAAAACATAATAAGGCCATTGGTTGGACCTTAGCTGACATTCCTGGTATTAGCCCATCCATGTGCATGCATAGAATACTCTTGGAGGATGGAGCTAAACCAGTGAGGCAACCACAAAGGAGACTCAATCCAGTGATTCTTGATGTTGTGAAGAAAGAGGTCACCAAGCTTCTACAAGCTGGGATTATATATCCCATTTTTGATAGCCATTGGGTGAGTACAGTTTAGGTAGTTCCTAAAAAGACAGGAATTACAGTGGTGAGAAATGAGAGGGATGAGCTAATTCCTACTAGAGTGCAGAACAGTTGGAGAGTTTGTATTGACTAGAGGAGGCTCAATCAAGCAACAAGAAAGGATCATTTTCCTTTACCCTTTATTGACCAGATGCTTGAACAGTTAGCAGGTAAATCTCACTATTGTTTTCTTGATGGTTTTTCTGGATACTTTCAAATCCATATTGCTCCTGAGGATCAGGAGAAGACCACATTCACCTGCCCCTTTGGCACTTTTGCCTATAGGAGGATGCCCTTTGGCCTATGCAACGCCCCTGGTACATTCCAGCGGTGTATGGTTAGCATTTTTAGTGACTTTTTGGAAAGTTGCATAGAGGTGTTTATGGATGATTTTACTGTATATGGATCTTCATTTGATGCATGCTTGGATAGTCTGGATAGAGTTTTGCATAAATGCATAGAAACTAACCTTGTTCTAAATTATGAGAAGTGTCATTTCATGGTAGAGCAAGGCATAGTTCTAGGCCATGTGATCTCTAATAAGGGCATAGAGGTAGATCCTGCCAAGATAGATGTTATTTCACTATTGCCTTACCCCTCTTGCGTGCGAGAGGTTCGTTCTTTTCTTGGTCATGCAGGTTTCTATCGCAGGTTCATTCAAGATTTTAGCAAGAAGGCCCTTCCACTATCCAATCTGTTGCAAAAGGATGTGGTGTTCGATTTTGATGAAAGATGTAAAGAGGCCTTTGACTGCCTCAAGAGAGCTTTGACCACAACTCCTATCATCCAGGCACCTGATTGGACAGTCCCTTTTGAGCTAATGTGTGATGCTTCTAATTATGCATTGGGGGCTGTCCTTGCACAAAAAGTAGACAAATTGCCTAGGGTGATTTATTATGCTTCTAGGACTTTAGATGTTGCACAAGCAAATTATACCACCACTGAAAAAGAGCTCTTAGCTATTGTATTTGCTCTGGATAAATTTAGATCTTATTTGTTTGGTTCTAGAATTGTTGTTTTCACTTACCATGCAGGACTAAAGTTCTTGTTGAAGAAAGTTGAGTCTAAGCCAAGGTTGATTAGATGGATGCTCTTGCTCCAAGAGTTTGATTTGGAGATTCGTGATAGGAGCGGAGCACAAAATTTGGTTGCTGATCACTTGAGTAGAATAGACAGAGTTGTTGATATGATGCCCATTCGGGATGATTTTCCTGATGAACAACTTTTGCATATCTCTGTTTCTTCCCCCAATCCCTGGTTTGCTAATATTGTTAATTATTTGGTTGCATCTGTTTTTCCTCCACTAGCATCTAGGGCTCAAAATGATAAACTTAAAAGTGATGCTAAATTTTATTTTTGGGATGACCCCTATTTGTGGAGATTTTGTAATGACCAGGTGATTAGAAGATGCATTCCAGATCATGAGATTGAATCAGTCCTTCAGTTTTGTCATGCCTCTGCAGTTGGAGGACATCTTGGTACCCAAAGAACAGCAAGGAAGGTACTTGATTGTGGATTGTATTGGACCACCATCTTCAAAGATGCGTGGAGGATCTGTAGTACTTGTGAGCAGTGTCAGAGAGCAGGTGGTACCATTTCTTGGAGACAAGAGATGCCTCAACAACCTATGTTGTTCTGTGAGGTTTTTGATGTTTGGGGTATTGATTTCATGGGTCCCTTTCCTGTTTCTTTTGGTTTTACTTATATTCTGCTTGCTGTTGATTATGTTTCTAAATGGGTGGAAGCTAAAGCCACCAAGACTAATGATGCTCGGGTTGTTATGGACTTTGTTAGGTCTCACATTTTTTGCAGGTTTGGCATACCCAGAGCTATTGTTAGCGACCAAGGCACACACTTCTGCAATAGATCCATGCAAGCTATGCTCAAGAAGTACGGGGTTGTTCATAGAGTTTCCACACCATATTACCCCCAAACAAATGGGCAAGCTGAGATTTCAAACAGAGAGATAAAGAAGATTTTGGAGAAGATGGTGCAGCCTAACAGGAAAGATTGGAGCAACAGACTTGAAGATGCTCTTTGGGCACATCGAACTGCTTACAAGGCACCCATAGGGATGTCTCCTTATCGGGTTGTCTTTGGTAAAACATGTCATCTTCTTGTGGAGATTGAGCATCGTGCTTATTGGGCTGTGAAGACTTGCAACTTGGCTCTTGATCAAGCTGGTGAAGAAAGGAAGCTTCAACTCAGTAAACTGGATGAGATCCGCTTAGAAGCCTATGAGAACTCTAAGTTCTCTAAAGAGAAGACCAAAAGATTCCATGATAGCTTGATTTCTAGAAAGGAATTTGTGGTTGGCCAAAAAGTGTTGTTGTATAACTCTAGGCTTGGTCTCATGAGTGGTAAGCTTCGTTCTAGGTGGATTGGTCCCTTTGTTGTAACTAATGTGTTTCCTTATGGTGCAGTAGAAATCTCAAGTGAATCCACAAATAAGATCTTCAAGGTCAATAGGCATCGCCTCAAGCCTTTCCTCACAAACCCTTCCGTTGTGGATGAAATTGTGGAGGAAGTTTCTTTGGTTGAACCTGTTTTCCTCCCTCCATGAATCAGGGAGTTTTTCTTTCTCTCCTTATTTAATTTTATTGCACTTGTCCAATTACATTTGCTGATATAACTGCGTGGATATTCTGACT